GGCAAAGATGAACAGAGCAAAGTACAGAGAGCTCCTTGATGAAAACCTGCTCCAGAGAGCTCAGGACCTCAGACTGGGGCGAAGGTTCACCTTCCAACAGGACAATGACACTAAGCACACAGCCAAGACAATGCAGGAGTGGCTTAGGGACAAGTCTCTGAATGTCCTTGAGTGGCCCATCCAGAGCCCGGACTTGAACCCAATCCAACATCTCTGGAGAGACCTGAAAATAGCTGTCAGAGCTTGACATGATCTGCAGAGAATGGGAGAAATTCCAAATACAGGTGTGCCAAGCTTGTAGTGTCAGAAGACCCAAGAAGACCCAAGGATGTAATCGCTGCCAAAGGCGCTTCAACAAAATACTGAGTAAAGGGTCTGAATACCTATGTAAATGTGATATCTGTTTTTTTCTAAAAATAAATTTGCCAAAATCTCTAAAAACCTGTTTTTGCTATGTCATTATGGGGTATTGTGTTGTGTGTAGATTGATGAGGGGAAAAAACGATTTAATCAATTTTAGAATAAGGCTGTAACGTAACAAAATGTGGAAAAAGTCAAGGGGTCTGAATACTTTTCGAATGCAGCGTAACTGGAGCACTTTTTTAACAGCATGCCAAAGGTTTGGGACAGTGACAGAATTAGTTTTTTCTATACTTGTACTTATTAGCATGGAGTCCATCATTATTTTCACCCCCCCCCCCCCCCCTCCCTCTATAGCGATTATCATTTTATCTACTCCATTATATCTCTCCATTGATTTATTAAGACACCGTTGAAAGTGCTCGCTTTAATTAGATGCGCCGAGTTCACAATGGCAAATTAATGTTCTTCGATCCTTTCCCAATGGCATCGTATATATGCTGTCCATGTTCTTTTCTCCTGTTAAGGAAATCCTAAAGGAAAGGTGCCCATGAAAATACTCACTCGATACAGTATTGATGGGGCATTCCAAAGACCAAAAGGCAGTACTACAGAGCGATACAGTCCTCTTTTCGTAGTTCAGTTATACAGAAGGACACCAGCAACATGGGAAACGAGCTTGTGTCTCCAAACAGCTAATTGTTTCCGATTGGAGCTGAGAGGCAGCTTGGGCAGGTTATCTAGTGGGACAAAAGACATCCTGGCCCTAGTGTCAACAGTCATCCACATTAATTATTGAAACTACGTATGAGAGGGGAGTCATTTGCATATAGATAACAGTCAATTTGATTTAGAAAATGGGGGCAGTCACAGAGTTTCAGCTTTAATCTGTGAATAAATGCATGCAGTGTTTTAGATTTAAAATGAGGGTTGATCAGATGGTAGCTTGTCCACCTTACCTTGTGGTTTCACAGAATCCAAAAATGTAAGTACATTTATGCTTTTTTGTCTTTCTACATGCCAGCACTGAATGTAGCCACTGATGAGAGGTATTATCAGAGTCTACTGGGTTAACCATCAGGGTAGGGGGTCAATTCCAGTCTATGAATTTTAATTCAAGCAATTAAACCGACATTCAGTTAAAGACCTTTAAGACCCCCATAACTTATTAGGATATTTTGATGTATGAATTGAATTTCTGTTTCCTGGATTAACTAGCGTGGAAATGAAATTGACCATATAACCTTTAACACACCTCTCATGCTTCTGCAATGCACCTAAACACGTACACTATTAATTGAAAATGAGAAGTTGACCTGTGTCCAATGTCAAGACACCTGTCCATAGACCGTATAAAAACAGGGGCACCGGTCTCACCCCTGTGGACATTATGTGAGAGATAGAGGTCAGCACTAATTAAATAAGCTCAGTCAAAGGGATGTTGAATTATTCAGTCTTTGACAACTATTGAGACTGCCAGCAATTTCCCCAAGTCAAGATGGTGCCATGAACATCTTTGTCTTAGATAAATGTTTTATAATCTTTGGGAAATTACCTTGATATTGTGAAATTGGTACGGTACACATTGGCCTAAGCGCTCCCGGGTTACATTTATTCGATTTGCGACTGCACATTGCGATTGGCTCTTTGGGATTTTTATTATTTTGCAATGGAGGCCACGCTAAGGGACCGTTTGAAATGTACTGTGATGGGGGAGGGGGTCCAAAATAGGGGTGAGTTGTTCAACTTATTTTTTTGCTTTGGGGAGGGTTGCGTTTTTTTTTGGGGGGGGGGGGTGCAGAGGAGGGTAGTGCGTTTTTTCCCTGGTTTACATTCGCTCTTTTTCCCGTTTTACTATATAATTTATTCCATCCTAGGCTTGAATCCGCCTCCTTTATATGAAGGTGTTTTGGTACTTCCCTTATGCACTACGCTTCTCCGCGCGCTAACTTTTAATATACCACAGGTCAATATAGTCTACCAATCTAACGGTCTATCCTGCCCTCTATCCACAATTCATTGTGACAATAGTGGTAGGTGGATCGTTTGTCCAGGTCTGCAATAGGCTAACTAGCAATCATACCACACATAAAAGCATTCAAACTGCATACATTTTCTATATGAATCCACAAGAACAAATAGGAATAGCTGATGGGCAGCGGAGGCGCCAGGTACTTCATTGTGCATGAAAGAACAGTGAAGACATGAAACACTCAGCTCAAAAAGCTACCCTATTGATCTTGTTTAGGGACAATACAATTATCCAACCTAGACTAGCCTACAACACCACAATGCAATGACTAATTGCATTATTGTTTTCAAGTGACTACAAAATTCTATTAATGGCTGCAGTGAAAATGTCATTTAAATAATGTCGCAAACGCCCTGTGATTTGAACGTTTTAATCCATTTGGATCAGTTGTGGGTCTACTCTCGAAAGTTTATAAGGTATAGAAAAGCACAGCAGCAGGCCATCTAAAAACTGAGATCATTCTCACAAAGTCGTCCTATAATAATGTGGCTACATATGCTCCTGGCAGGCCCAGTTATTCAGGAAAGCTTAGTGTGCTGTGCCTCCTCCATTTCTCACACACCTATAACCTAACGATTCAATATAGCCTAAATATTTGTTATATAACATCACAATGTTTTCATCTGATTAGGCTACTTCAGAAGTCTCCTACAGGCATGCACACGTTTGTTCAAAATATAATTCCTGCATCCTCAAAATGGCTTGACAAGGTTTCCATCCAACCTTTTTATGCGAGGAAAGTACATCAGATAAAAAATGACAATGGGAAAGCATGTAGTTTATTAGGCTAGATGAAATAAGATCCTTTAAAATAATGAAGCATTTAAAGCTGCCCATGGCAGAATCTAGTTGATGATCCCTGTTCTAGATCATTTTCTTGCCCTTCCGGATTGACATTGAAGGTATGGTTGAGTATGGTCCAGAATGATAAAGCTGTTCTAATCTGAAACAGCTCAGTTCTATAACATTTCTATTTTAACGGATATTGCGTTACAGTATTCACCTATCAGATTTAGACAAGAGAGACAGGAGTTCATAGCTGCAAATGTAGAGGGTTAGAAAACGTAGTGACAGTTGAGTCAGAGATGATCTTAGTAAAGCAAGAGTGGATAGCAGGGTGGGAAATTCAAATTTAATTACTATTTCCAATTTTGTCATGTTCTGGTTTGCCATTCTGTTCCAAAAATAAATGTATTTTCCCACCCTGGGCAGAGAAATTCAGAACAGTAAGAGAGGTGTAGAGGAGAAAGAAAGTGAGAGCATAGGAGACAGAAGAGGGTGAATAGAGATACAGGAGAGTTTATTGAGCATGCTACAGAGTTAAAGCAGAGTAGGTACACAGCAGGAACCAGCAAACGGACTCACTCGGTAGAAAATTAGCTTTTAATCTTGCCTTTTCCAAACTATACTGATTATTACAATTGAGATGTAAAAATTCAATCCATGTAGAAAATATACATAACCTTTTGCCACACATTCCAATATCTCATTTTTTTGCCTTTTTTTTTTTTTGTAGCTTTTACTGGAGGTGTGGTGTAAGGGTAAAATCCTTTACCAAAAACCGCACAGAATATTGTTGAAATCAAGGAGAAACATTCTGGGAGTGTTTGACTTTGATTAGTGTTCCCCCCATTAAAACACAACCCACATTTGTTTTTGTAAATGAAAACGTTATAAATCAAATAGTAAAGTAGGTCTAAAGGCACATTTACTTTGGTCCCAACAGTCAGTCCATCCTCATGTACAATCATACTTCGTTATGACCACATTGCCTATCTGGATGTTGGACGCATGCAACAGCAACATGTCTTCACTACTACCATGAACCATCAGTACATGCGCAACACGATTCACTGCCATTTTCAATCAAACCAAAAATGTACCAAAAGGAACAATTATGTATATGCAAATAAGGTTTGAAAAACAGACAGCAAGGGAACATCTAAGCCGTCGTCCTTAGCAGGTGAAGTGTACAATGGTGTCAACAGCCTTTACAGTAATCATCCTCAAGGGAAAAATGGCTCTGCCTGGGGAGTTGTTTAAAAACAAGTCAACCAATTGAAGATGGGCTTCTTCATCTAAGTCCGTTAATCAGGTTCCTGGCCTACATTATGAACATAAAGCACAAAATCGAAGCTATCAAATCTGGTGAACATCCCGTAACGTACACAGGGAGGGAAAACAAAAAGGAAACCACAACCAAACAATGTGCCTAGACCTCTATCACTTGTAGAACCGTAAGGAGGCAAAACAATGATATTTTGCTGAGTAAGGCACATTTTTGCTGATTCATTCTAATAAAGGAGGGAATCCAATTCCTCTTCGTGATGAACATGGGAAGGGAGCTTGCCTACCACACAAACTAAGGTTGAGAGGGATAAGGGACCTAGACGGGGCTTGTTTCACGACAACAACATTGTACAAACTACCGTCACATCTAGTAGTGGGGGGGCTTTTGATAATCAATATAGTCTAAAAGGAATGGACTGATTGAAAAGTTTCCCCTAGGAGGCGAGGGTCACGATGGTATCCCCGAGGGGACTGAACAGGTGAGCACCACAAATTGAGGTTTGTCAGGGAGGAGGTGGATTGTGGTGGCATGGCTCCTCTAGATGGTGGACTTGGAGAAGGAGACCTTCAGGTGGTGGTTGCTGCCCATGTCGTAGTTGTGGAGGTCCATCAAGGCCTGGATGGCCTCCTCCACCGTGGACATCTGGAGTAGCGCCATTTTGTGGCCTCTATATGGGGTGGGGGGGGGGGGGGACACGTGATCAGATAGTCACAATCTAGTCAGACACAGGTGGTACATTTATGAAGATCGCTGCACATTACAACTGTGGTGTTCCAAGGCTCAGGCTTGCAACTAAATGTGATAAGTTACGTGCTGTAAAAGATAGTCTTACTGGAAAAACTTGAAGGCCTTCACAATGCCACCAGCGTTAGAGAACAGCAGTCGCAAATCCTCCTCCGTCACATCCTCCCTGTCGAGTCCGAAACTGACCGTGAGCACAGCGCAAGCACATTCAGCCATGTCAATACAATTGCACTCTTCTCGTATTGCAACATCTTACCAGTGCTACACACACCCCCCTAAATTCAGTAGCAAATTACTCAATAATAGTCTAGTGCAAAAATAGACAGAACAGAGCCTTGAGGAACTCCAAATCGTACATTGGATGTGTCTGAGGAACCTGCTATTGTCCTGGCAAGCACAACAAATATTTATGAAATGGTACAGCCAGAATCCAGACAAACTCTAGACAAACTCACGGGACGTTGGAGAGGTGGAGCGTGGCGGATGGAGGGAAGATGTTCTGAAAGTTCTTGGAGCCGGGCTTCTTGAAGCGGTGCAGGGGGGAGTTGGTGAAGTCCTTGGTTAGGCCCTGGTCATCCAGCCCTTCCCTGGGCAGCTGCACTGCCTGGTGCTTGGAAAGAGTCACACGGATGATCTTCCCGTACATCTTCTGGCCATTCAGGTGGCTCATCGCTGACAGGACAGGCACATAGGAAACACGGTTACAGTGACATGTTTCTCATGTGTTTAATGTGGAGGTGTTTCTCTACCATTCATTCGAAATTTGCTCTTTTAGTCCTAATTTCCAAAACAGAAGATCAGATGCAAAAATATCCTTTCCATCTACCTTTAATTAGAAATGTTAAGACTCCCTTTAGGATCGTCCTAGTCATTTCCGACTCAAAATTAGTTTCAACTATGACTTTGGGATTGTGGAAAATCATGAACCATAGCATGACTCAAAGACACAGCAAGAACTGTAGATTTACTTGATCCTATTATTCCTATGCCAGAAAAAGAAAATATTCTGTTGAAACAAACAGCAGGGCAGCCAGGGGCCTTGCAGGATAACGCAGGGATTGAGCGGAACAGAACCAAACAGGTGCTAGTTAAAGGGGGGGGGTTGAAAGAATGCTCCAGAATTCCAAGAAAGACAAGAGGCACAGAAATGGGGCATGACTGAACCCACTCACCAAGCTGGGCCTGGTTCCCGTCCGACATCTGGATAAGAGCACTGTCCTTCTTATTGTAGAGGATCTTCACACGCTGAGCATCACCATACACCCCTTAATTATAATGATAGGCAGACGGCAGGAGGGAGCGAGAGAGGAGAGAGCAAAGGCAGAGCAAAGGAGAGAGGATTGAACCATGAAGGACAATGTTAGTCGTTCAGAGACAGTTTACAAAATGAGCTGTAAAAAGGGATGGAGAAATCATCCCTATAATTTAAACCAATCATAGTCTTAGAACAAGAGACGTATAACAGATAGACAGAAGAGAGAATATGCTGATAAAATCCCTTTTAAAAAACTAGCTTTGTGAAATGGAGAAAAAAAAATTAACAGAAAAACCTACATGCCAAATAATCAACCATGCATTAACGTAATTGGTTCATAGTGAGACTAAGAGAGACTGGAGGCCTTGATGGCCAAAATAATATGTACTCAACTAAATCAATATGAACAATTAAACAAAACGTGAAACAAAAACGTGATGAAACAGTTACTCAACTATGGAAACACTAATCAGAAATCAAATGAGAGCTAGAGAAAAAATCAAAACATGGAGATGGAGTAAAGAAAAAAAAATATATATATATATATATGAAAAAGGTAGTGCTAACAATAACATACCGAAGAGGGTAAACAGACTTTGGGGCGTAACCATCTTTAGAAGGAGAGAAGAGCAAGCAGCGTAAGACAGGTAGAGAGGTAGAAGAGTCGGAGGTAGAGAGCGGAGATGGACAGATCATCCATAACGGAGGGTGGTTTCCCGTAGAATGATGAGGTGGTCATGGTGCATGGGTTCAAGGCAGTTAATTGGGGCAAGTTGGTCCAAGGAGGAACATTTTTGTTCAGGCACAAAGCATGAACGTGTGGAGGAGGGGTAAAGGGGGGTGTAACAGGGTGCAGACGGGACACCAAGGGGGAAAGAGGGAAGGGCAGGAATTAATGAAGGGAAGGGGGGTTGGAGGGGGGAGCAATGTGGAGTAAATCAAAAACATCAGTACATTGGAAAATGCAGGAGTTTGGTCAGAAAATGGCTGGATTTGATTTGCTCTGGTGGGTGGAGGGGAGGGGGTAATAGTGCCAAATGTCTACACCTGAGACCAAAGAGGGAGCCGAGTACATTGACACCCAAGCCTAGTTTATAGCCAATAATAATGATAGGGGGCGTGGGTAGGGCATGCAGAAGAGTATCACAAGTTAAGGTTTAGTAGCTTTACTAGAGTATGAAATGCAAGCACATTGGTTAAAGCAGGTGGGCTACACTATCAGTTTCGAAAGGAGGGGTGTTTGGGCCATGCAGGTAAATACATGAAAACCACCTTACAGAGTTATGGCATAAACAGAACACATTTTCAAGTCCACAAACCCAGTGTTTGGGGAGAGAAATGATAAGAATATTACTTCTGTTGAGAATTTATAGACAGATATAGATAGATATAGCATAGAAGGTGACAGTGGGTGAGAGAAAATGTGAGGGTGGTTGGTGTAGCCCCCACAGTCCATACCAACTTGACATAGCTTAGAGAAAGGCATTGGGAGAGACAGGTGTGAACGGGAGAGCTTCGAGAGAGAGAAGAACGAGAGTTAGGAAGGACTATCACTTGACATGAAAGAGGAAAAAGGGAGGGTGAGAGAGTTTAGGAGACAGCAGTTAAAATTAGCACAGAATGCATAGCAGAGAGAGAAAGAGAGCCCCTCCATTCACTAACAGAGCCTGGGAAGTAACTGCAGTTCAGTTGACTTAGGCTATGGAGACCGAGAGAAAACATATGGAAGCACTGAGGCCAGCATAAAATTCACATAAAAAATGAGCACTGGTGTGAGAATGCATCGTCATTCCATTTCTTGACTGGATGTACAACCATTGGGATGACCTCGTGGTGAATGACGCCTGACAGAGAAACACAATCCACTCGTCTTAGTACTAACACCATCAGGCCAAGCTAGATGGGTTGTGTGCCGCAGAGCTTTGAACAGTCAAAGAATGCAGAGCAACACTGAATATTGCTGTAGCAATCTTTCAAAATGAAATCTCCGATTTCTTTGTACTGATCATGAGGTGTAATAGATTGACCCATAAAGGTATTGAGTATCTGTGCAACAAAATGCAAGGTTGGACTAAATAGCCAAATTGTATAGATGGAGAGCTTTCTCCTCTGCATTTTCTCTGAACCCTTCCACTCATGAAATGACACCAGTCATACCTCGAATCAGAAATGTCTGCTCAAAGTCCATGTCGGAATCAAAGGACAATGATGTACAAGGCACCGTCAGAGGCATGAGATCTGAGTGAGATCTGCATACTGCAGGAGGAGAGAGAAAGGGAAGGGGTGAGAGAGAAAGGGGGTGGTCTGGGGGGGGAGGCGTTACTGACCTCTTCGTTCAGGTTGCTGACCAGGAGCACACCGCTGCAGCCGGAGTGTCCGGAGAGCGCCATCCTCCCTGCAGCCGCTGCCGCTGCAGCCGCAGCACTCATTGGACTCATGGCTCCTGGAGGAACAGCCAGAGAGCCAGGCACGTTAACGGGGAGACAGAGCGCAAGCACAGGCAAAGCACACCACACAGCCATGTACTACAGTGTGCATGCCATGTCCACACAGGCACCAGATGTGTGCACTCAGACATTGCTCGTCCTAATATTTCACACACACACAAAGGGACGCACATGTACTTTTTCTGCATAGAACAAGACCTCATTGTCAAAAGCTATTCAAGACACTGGGAAGGTTAGTCAACTCTAAAGCTAACCTTCCATGATTCCAATGTCACAGTCTATCACATGTTCTAACTCCTTTCATGATGACATCCCTTGGTTATTCTCAAACAACTGATATTTCAAACATGCTATTAGACACTTTTAAAAGGGTTTTTCCCCCTTGTTCTGACAGGAGTGGTTGCTGTGCCACTCCAACTATTCCTGCCTCTTTTTCTCCTGGACGACATGGACACACAGCATGTAAGACAGAGATAAAGAAAATATAATGGAAAGGATAGGTACCTCCGCCCTGCGAGAGGGAGAGAGAAGACTGAAACCCTCCACCATTAGAGTAGGGCGCTCCCATTCCAGAGGGGGTACCTACGGAGAGGGAGTACAGGGAAAAGCTTAAATATACAAGGGGGGGCAGGGCAGGTGGGAGTAGTTAAAATGTAGAATAATTCAAAAAAGCTTTATCAAATTGACATTTTCCATTCTCTTCTAGTTCCTTCTTTTTGTTCTACACTTAATGGTGTGTTACTGGACTGGTAGGGATTTCTGTTGTCCTCCTCCTATCTTTACAAAGCATTAGATAAGTCCATACCCAGCCTCCCATTGAGAGAGAACACTTAGTGGTATTGACTTCTATACAAAGGAGAGAGAGCTGACTGGACAGGCCTGGAAAAAGAGAGATGGAGGATGGATGGAGAGAGTTCTTACCGAGCAGGGAGGAGTCCTTGTTGAGGGCGGCAGCCATAGCAGAGTCTACTGCAGGCTGGCCGTCGCCGGCGGGGAGCTCGGGCCGGGTATAGTCCCGGCTCTTGTCGTTGTTGTACTTGACATTCAGGTTGACCAGCTTAGAGAAGTCGATCCGCAGCGTGCAGCACGAGTTGTAGATGTTCTGGCCATCCAGGGACTGGACAAAGTGATGAGAGAAATAGAACTATTACTAAGCTTTTTGTTATATTTATTTTTGTTTGAATAATTGTCATAATCTGGAAAGAGAAACACATTTGTTATCAACCTTAAATTGACAGAACTGAGAAACTGAATATACTAATATGCTATTAAACAGACACTTTTATCCAAAGCGACTTACAGTCATGCGTGCATAATTTTTTTTATGTATAGGTGGCCGCATGGGAATCGAACCCACTATCCTGGCGGTGCAAGAGCTTTGCTCTACCAACTGAACTACAGAGGACCACATGTATAATACACTACTGGTTTGTCTGTCGGCTCACCAGTCTGGCTTGCTGGGCGTTGACTGGTTCGCTGAACTGGAGCAGGGCCTGGAACTGGTTGTTCTTGGTGAAAGTGATGATCTTCATGACCGTTCCAAACTTGGAGAAGATCTGCTGGAGGACGTCCAGAGTGACGGGGTAGAACATGTTGTCGATGATTATCCTGAGCACGGGGCTGGGGGCATGGGCTAGAACACTGTCCAGCATACTGGTGTCAGAGTTGGGAGAGCCACCGTCCTGCACCGCCGACACGGCCTGGAGGACAGCCTGCGCGCGCTTGGTAAGTACGTATGAAAAAGAGGGAGGGAGAAAAGAGGCAGAGGAGGGAAAAAATTAGGACGACAGTCTGCAAATCTACAAAAGTGCCATCACAATGGCCAAGGCTCGCTCATACGCCATTAGTCTAGACACTGAGAAACAGAGACTCACTACTAGTCATGCACAAGTGTATTTTCTGGGCAAGGGCAGAATCTCACCTGGTTGAGAGTGCTGTCTGTCTTTAGCTCCTTGTGGTTAGAGAACTGGATAAACACTGGGACGTTGCGGACCTGAGGCGTCACCGCCGTGTAGTAGTTCACCATTGTAACAGCCGCCTCCTCTGTCCCCAGCTCCAGGAAAGCCTGTTACATGGACAGAGGACAATTTCAAGAAAGACAACGTGGCCAAATTCCTTCTATGCCCAACACTACCGTGTAGTATTACATAGTTTGGTTCTAGCAACAAAAAAACTTTTCTGACAATTTGAACTGACCAGGGAAAACATTAACGCACCTGATTTTTGCCTTTCAGCATGAGGATGTTGGTGACCTTGCCGAATGGTAGGCCAAGAGCGATGACCTCAGTCTCTGACACCTCGCTGGGCAACTTCCTGATGTGGAGCACGCGGGAAGGGGGACTCTCCATCCTGTCCTCCACTCTCAGTTTTTTACTGCTGTCATTCTCGTTAGCTGTGAAATCAAGCGTCATGCATGAATATATCACATCAGCTGTCCTCTCAGCTGTTAATGTGTCAAGGACCATTGACTGTGGATGTAGCTCAGTTGATAGAGCATGGCGTTTGCAACGCCAGGGTTGTGGGTTCGAATCCCACAGGGGGTATGAAAAAAAAAAAAAAAAAGTATATTTATAATGTGACTAAACTGTAAGTCGCTCTGGATAAGAGCGTCTGCTAAATGACTTAAATGTAAATGATAATATGTTAGAATGTGAATGGCTTTACTTTGCTATATGACTGAATGGGGGGGGGGGGTGCTCACCAGTCACAGAGCTTGGGCTGGTGCTGTAGAGATTCAAATCATCTGAGCCTCTCTGTAAAAGAACAATGTATACATTAATGTATTCGGTACATCGTTTCCCAATTATTGAAACTGTCCTGAAAAGTCAGGTGCGAAAGTGCAAACTTACCTTCATGCCAACTGCAACATCACTGACAATGCTGAAAAAGACAGGGAACATGAATGTCAGTTATGCAGACAAATCAGTGCAAGCAACGTAGAAGGCAATTAGCTAATGGAATCAAAAATATATGGTGTCAATTAACAATCAAGTTAGCTAACGTTAGCCACAAGGTTAAAAACTACCAGTGTGAGTGTTGTTGGCTTGCAATTTCATTTCGTTAAAATGTGTAGCTAACAATTCATCATCTTTACATTTAGTTTGATGTGAAAACTCAATGCAAATTGTAGCTACGTTAGTAAATTCGGGTATTAAACCTTGCCAGACAACTCTAGTTAAGAGAACGTTCGCTAGTTAGCTACAGTAGCGTTTTATGATGGCTACAAACTCATCTGAAGAAACAAAGGAAACCTGTCCGACCAAAGCGCAGGGGTGCGTGCGCGCTCAGCTAACGTTACATAGCTAACTAGCTACTTAAAATAACCAAAACACGACATTGAATGCTTAGCTAGCTAGCTTAATGAAATTGTAGAAATATTGACGCTGCTCAATTTCTACTTACCACAACTCTTCAGCTAGGTATACCAATCAACACATTCAACTCTAGTTAGCTAGCTAGTTTCATAGCAAGGTGCACGCTGTGAAATTCTACGGTAGTACTAGCTAGCATTAGTTAGCTAATGCAATGCTAAGAAGATGGGTGGCAAGCGGGCTAACCACCACCATCTCAGAACGAATTCAAACGTGGCCGGCCCAGTGAGCTAGCTTGCTAACGTTATTGAATGGATACGTCGATAGCTACATTAAAACCTTTCACGAATATCATTAAACACACGAGCAACGTGCAAACGTCAACACATACCTGTCCATTGCCGTAGGTCTATTTTGGCGTTTATATTTCGTCGTTGAATCTCAGCTCCACTCCTACACACGCACGACAAGATAGCAAAATGGTCGCAATTTACCAAATGCTGTCATGAAGTGCACCGAGTGACGGAAAATGTCGAACAAAGCCGAGTTACCTATTATCTACAGACAGTTCATTGATGATCAGTTATTAATAAATACTTAATTGAAATATGAGTTTAGCCACGTATTATTGTTTGCTACTGTAATCATTAGCTTTAAAATATTGTTATTAAACAAAGCTTTCCCGCAGTTTCATTTATTGTCATTATAAGGGCAACCATGGCTTCAGCAAAAAACTCAATGACAAGCCACTGGACCTCACTACCTGTATTTATCCTTGACTAATGCAACTTCATATCCTTCATCAATTTACAAGAATAGTAACAAAACATATTTGGTTCACATTGTCTTGCCATGGGGTCTCTCACCACCCCAGGCCTAGACCACAATGGTTACAGCACAGCCTGTGTGTTATTATACCCTTAATGAGTTCACATTTTCAGGGCACTCACTGCAATTGGGCCCAGTCACAAAGTGAACAGAGAGCATGCAACCCCTTTTGTTTCTGAATCTGCTATTGAAAGGACTGGAGGGTATTCTATTTCACACACACAAACACACATATACTACTACGCCCCCATGCAATCTGTCACTTGTGAGGTTTTAAGGCTGAGAGTTGTATGACATATAGGCCTAGATTGAAGAAGTTTCCACTCAACAATGAATTTGACTGGATTAATAGGAATTCATTTATTATCAGTATTTTTAGTAATTAATGTCTTTCTGTTGTGTTGCCAAGATACTGAAATTGCACCTTGAGATTGATCATACTCAAGGAAATTATATTGATATTGTGATATAAAACCATAAAAAAAAGATATTACATAAAATAACCAAATAACATTTTCAAACCAGGTTTATTTTCATTTCATGACTTGGACCATTTTAATATTTTATCCAAAATTCAATTTCCTCAGTTTCCACATTTCCTTTTACAGCTTTCTCTCATTTATTGTCTCTCATAACCACAATGTCTTTATGTTTTATTGGTTCCCCAGCTCACCTCAGAGGGCACTGCTGAAGATGAATCCTTTATCCAGGGAAGATGAACGGGACTGGAGAATGTCAAGTGGATTAATGTAATAAACCTTGACTGCAGAGAATTCCCAGACCTGTTAATGCTTTACGTCACTGTATGTTTAAGTGACACACTTAGTTAGTACAGTGTATGACACTGTTTTTTATTTTACTGGAAAACGGCCCATTCAATCCCCACAAAGGAAAGAATATAGAGTGATTCGTTGTGGCTCTGTATGTTGAAGTTGGGACTGTTGGGTTTCGTCTAGCCTATAATCTTAGAGATATTGCATTTTCAGTGAGAACTGTTGAACTGGGAAACTGCACAGGTTTGTCTTTTAGTGATGTGGGTATATGATTAGATAGCCTTTACATTAATCAATGTGGAGATGTTCATCCAGGCAGTTCCTCTATCCGATTACAGCAACCCCCTGTCCACAGAAGCTGTTTTAAAACTAACCCTTTACCCATTAAGTCATAATTTACAAAGACCTGGAGTTGATTACCAAATTAAGGCATTGATTTAGGCTCTCATTTTGGTCATTATTAAATTCCGATCTAGGTAAGTTTGATTCTGTCTCTTGCCTAAATAATAACACTGGTTTATTCCAATCTGTCTTACTATTTACTGAACTGAAGTTGTTTTCATTAAAACAATTAAAAAAACATTTCCACTTCTTATTGTGCTGTGCAGTGGATTTGGTTATAAGAGTGATAAACCTTATAACCAAAGGTACTAAAGGAATAAATGGATGACATTGGGGCTGCATAATACCCTGGGCATATCCTTGGGACAAAATTGATACGAAAGGAGATACCAGTATCACAGAATGGAACAAAGCCAGTTCTTGGTTCAATTAAACACAGACTTCCCAAATAAAATAAGGGCTTCTCTAGAAACACTCTAGAATTTCAGTAAACGTACAATTTTTTGCGAGGGGTCAAAATACAAAACTTCTCATGTCAAAACCACTTGTGTCATTACAAATGTGGTCAGAAATTACCAACCCATACTCAATGGCTTAAATCAAATCATTTCACATTTTATTTGTCACATACACGTGTTTAGCAGTTATTGCAGGTGTAGCGAAATGCTTGTGCTTCTAGGTCCGACAGTGCAGTAATATCTAACAAGTAATATCTAACAATTTCACAATATATACCCAATACACACAAATCTAGTAAGGAATGGAATTTAAGAATACATATATGGACAAGCAATGACAGAACGGCATGGACTAAGATACAGTAGAATATTATAGAATAGAATACAGTATATACAGTGGGGGAAAAAAGTATTTAGTCAGCCACCAATTGTGCAAGTTCTCCCACTTAAAAAGATGAGAGAGGCCTGTAATTTTCATCATAATCCAGAAAATCACATTGTAGGATTTTTAATAAATGTATTTGCAAATTATGGTGGAAAATAAGTATTTGGTCACCTACAAACAAGCAAGATTTCTGGCTCTCACAGACCTGTAACTTCTTCTTTAAGAGGCTCCTCTGTCCTCCACTCGTTACCTGTATTAATGGCACCTGTTTGAACTTGTTATCAGTATAAAAGACACCTGTCCACAACCTCAAACAGTCACACTCCAAACTCCACTATGGCCAAGACCAAAGAGCTGTCAAAGGACACCAGAAACAAAATTGTAGACCTGCACCAGGCTGGGAAGACTGAATCGGCAATAGGTAAGCAGCTTGGTTTGAAGAAATCAACTGTGGGAGCAATTCTTAGGAAATGGAAGACATACAAGACCACTGATAATCTCCCTCGATCTGGGGCTCCACGCAAGATCTCACCCTGTGGGGTCAAAATGATCACAAGAACGGTGAGCAAAAATCCCAGAACCACACGGGGGGACCTAGTGAATGACCTGCAGAGAGCTGGGACCAAAGTAACAAAGCCTACCATCAGTAACACACTACGCCGCCAGGGACTCAAATCCTGCAGTGCCAGACGTGTCCCCCTGCTTAAGCCAGTACATGTCCAGGCCCGTCTGAAGTTTGCTAGAGTGCATTTGGATGATCCAGAAGAGGATTGGGAGAATGTCATATGGTCAGATGAAACCAAAATATAACTTTTTGGTAAAAACTCAACTCGTCGTGTTTGGAGGACAAAGAATGCTGAGTTGCATCCAAAGAACACCATACCTACTGTGAAGCATGGGGGTGGAAACATCATGCTTTGGGGCTGTTTTTCTGCAAAGGGACCAGGACGACTGATCCATGTAAAGGAAAGAATGAATGGGGCCATGTATCGTGAGATTTTGAGTGAAAACCTCCTTCCATCAGCAAGGGCATTGAAGATGAAACGTGGCTGGGTCTTTTAGCATGACAATGATCCCAAACACACCGCCCGGGCAACGAAGGAGTGGCTTCGTAAGAAGCATTTCAAGGTCCTGGAGTGGCCTAGCCAGTCTCCAGATCTCAACCCCATAGAAAATGTTTGGAGGGAGTTGAAAGTCCGTGTTGCCCAGCGACAGCCCCAAAACATCACTGCTCTAGAGGAGATCTGCATGGAGGAATGGGCCAAAATACCAGCAACAGTGTGTGAAAACCTTGTGAAGACTTACAGAAAACGTTTGACCTGTGTCATTGCCAACAAAGGGTATATAACAAAGTATTGAGAAACTTTTGTTATTGACCAAATACTTATTTTCCACCATAATTTGCAAATAAATTCATTAAAAATCCTACAATGTGATTTTCTGGATTTTTTTTCCTCATTTTGTCTGTCATAGTTGACGTGTACCTATGATGACAATTACAGGCCTCTCTCATCTTTTTAAGTGGGAGAACTTGCACAATTGCTGGCTGACTAAATACTTTTTCCCCCCCACTGTATATAGCTATTTAAAAATATATATCTATTCAAATATCTTGCATATCTTATTTTCCATCATTATCAATTAATATGCACAATAATGTTGGCAGTTCATGCGTAGGATTTTAACCTATAACGCGGATTGCCATTGTATTACATGACATTTTTGACAAGCAATTATTATTTTAGCAAACAATTATTG